CTCCAAACAGAAAATGGCACCAATACAAGCCACCCCTTTCCTTGGGTTGCATTGGGGATTAAACGCGTTGACATTGCAGCAGTCCCAGGCTCAGACCGCCAGCATTGCATGTTTGTTAAACATAAACCAGTGACCAGGGCAGCCCACAGGGACAGCCCACTGCCCCCGCAGTGACAGTGGCAAAGCAGTGGAGCCCTTGCCTGCTGAGGGGCCCTCCGCCTGGCAGTAGTAACAGTCACTGTGGGACCCCCTCATACCTGCTGGTGCACAAGGACCCAGGAGGCTAGAGTTAATCCATGACGACATGCGAGTACCCTAAGTGCCAACGGACCTGCTTCAGCACTGGAGAGTGTGGCCTGTGGACGGCTAAACACACCCAAGGGCCATGGCCAGCCACCAGTGAGGACAGATGGATGAAGGGAGGTGGGGCGGGGCTGGGCGGGGCGGGGGGGGGGGATGGAGGTCAGAAGGGATGAGCCTGGGAACACAGGCAGTGGGTGGGGCAGAGGGATCATGGTGCAGACAGCAATGGCCTGGAGGCCTCAGGACAAGGCCTCCCCCAGTCCCGGGGTCCTTCTGGAATTCATTTCAGCTCATTCCCACTTTCATAAACATTTTTAAGCCACAGGATATGCTGGGCCAAATGACAGACATGAGGAGGATTAACACAGAACTTGGTCCCAAGGAGCTCACCTCTGAGCTGAAGGAGAGAGAGGGGGTCGGTCCCACCTGGGAGGTGGACATTAACATCTCCACCTTAAAGAGAAGGACAGAGGATCTGAGAGGTTAAGCAAGCCACCTCAGGTGCCAGAGCGGACCTGAAGAGCGATCCTCATCCCTGTCCGACCAGAAGGTCTGTGCACTCGGCCGCCTCACAGACTGTCCCCACTGTGACCTGTGATGATAAAGGGAAGAGCCCTGAGCCTGTTCGCTCACCTGGAAATAATGACCTCCGGTGTCCTGGGTGACAAGGGATAATGTTTGTAACAGGTCTGTACCAGTGCAAGACATGTTTCTACACCTGTTAAGGGGCCCAAGACAGGTAGTCACAGGAGCTGCTCTGGAAGAGCAGATGCCAAGCATGGTGAGGCAGCAGCCCAGGCAGGGTGAGCAGCGAGCACAAGCCCAGAGGTGTGAGTGTGAGGTGTGAGTGTGCGGGGACCCGAGAAAGCCAGAGACAGCTTGGCAGAGAGGACAGCCTGAAGCTGCCCAGTCCCCCCCCCCCCCTCCCCCCCCCCCCCCAGTCCTCCATCCCTCCGCAGCACCTGGGAAGTGGCTGCCGGCTTCCTCCTTTCCAGTTCCGCCTCCACCCTCTTATCTGGGCCTCTGCGCCCATTGCTTGCCTGCGGGAAACTCTTGCCCAGGTCCTCAGTGCCAGCCTGTCGCCAGCCCAGGGGTCATCCTCAGGTCCATCTTACCCCTCAGCAACCCACCTGTGCTCTTGACCTCCTTCTCTTTGAAATGCCACCCTTGGGCTGCTATACTTCCCTCCACAGTGGACTCTCCCCTTGGTCTCCTTTGCTGGCTCCATCACTGTGCCACCCCGGATGTTGCTGGTCTTGGACCTGTTTCTTACGAACACACTCTCACTGGCAGACCCATCCATTCTCGAGGCTTACCCGTCGCCTCCGTGGGGGGTGTCCGAGTTGCCACCTCCGGCCCAGTGTGCACCTGAGCCCTGGATCCCCACACACCTGCCTGCTAGACACCTTGACTTGCATGTACCCCAGGCAGTCTGAACTCCAAGTGAGCCCAGGGGACTCAGTGCATTCCCTCCATAGTTGCTGCTCCTTCTGGGTTCCTTCTGCCAGGGGTTGGCCTCGCCGGTGCAGCTCGCCCAAGTCAGACCCTGGAAATCATCCCTGACGTCTCCCTGCCAACACCTGGATGTCCTCCCCTTTCAGTATCTCAGCGCCTTTCCCTCCTTCTCTGCTGCACAACGGGCCTCACGTTTGCTCCTGGGTTTCCTTCCAAAGACTGCCCCTTTGCACTCTTACCCAAATGCCAGAGAGGAGTCCATGAAATGCAAATCTGCCCAGGTCACCCCCATTCAGCAGCCTTTAATGGCTTCCCTTGCTTTTCGAAATAAAACCTACGCTTCGTAGCATGACACTCGGTATTCCAGCCTCTTCACCGCATACCTGCCCACTGTCCCTGGGTCTCATGCTCCAGCCAGACTGAAACCATTGAGTAAACTTGCCTTCCTTCACCACATTCCTCCTAATCCTCTCACCCTTAGGGCTCAGTGTGAGAGTCACCTCCTCCAGGAAGCCTTCCTGCTGCCCCAGGATGAGTTAGGGCTGCTCTATGACAATAGTTCTCTTCCTACACCTCATCGATGCTTTCTTTCCCTTCTCACTCCCCACATAAGACTATGTAGTCTTTGAAGTCAGGGATTGTCTTTGCGGTTTGTTTTGCTACAGTGCTAAGAAATATTTGCTGAAATCAAAGGATCTGGGAAGGGTTTTGGAAGCAGACCCTGAGGTGCCTTTAGGGAAATGAGTTACTCCATGGGCAGACACTGAAAGTCAAAAACACAATATACTTTTTTCCCCTTTCTCCTAACCGAGATGCAGTTTTGTTCAGGAGGCAGCGGTAGTATTAACTGCGTTCCTCAACCTCCTTTGCACAGGGTAGCCACGTGACCCAGTTTGGGCCAACAAGACTTAGTGAAAAGTAGCTAAGCATGTTTGGGGGAGAGTTGCTTCCCTGATGTAAGCACAGGCCTTTCCTATATTTCCTGTCTTTCATTTCCTTCCTGGAGTGAGAAGAGGAGGCTGGACATGGAACAGCCATCTCGGGATGATGAGCCAGGGAGGATGAGAGCCACACACCAAGGAATCCTGCAGGGGCCTTGATCATGGCACTCTTGACTAGCTACTAGCAGTCTTCTTATTATGAGAGACAAATAAATCTCACTGAAGCCACTTTGATTAGGTTTCCATTACATTTAGCTGAACTCCACCCAGTGAAGTAAAGGCAGGTGAAAGCAGATGACCACCGGCAAGCATTTCCGCACTGGCCCTCCCTTTGAAGAGGATGCTGGTCCTGACAGTGGGAAGAGGGCTAAGTTAATGGAGCAGGATGAGTTGAGGGTCGGAGAGGCTGCCCTGCCTGGGATTCCATCAGAGGGCCCTGCAAGGCTTCCAGGTTTGAGGAAGAAGCTTTCTTTGGCCATGGCAGCCCTAATGTGCCTGTGACCTTGACCTCTCTTCTCTGCTTGGTTTCACTTGTGAAATGAGGCTGCTGGAATAAATAACTTTTCAAAGGGCACAGGGCTCAAGTCTGGGCTTTAGAGTCAGACAAAGCTGGGTTCAAGTTTCAGGTCCATCACTTAGTAGCTGTGTAGTCTAGTCTTCCCGGCACTTTTTAAAGTTGACCTACATAGCACCATCACCTGTGAAATCCAGACAATAATAGCACCTGTAATTGTGGGGCGAGTGCTGGGCTCTGTGGAGTCTCACACATGGATGCCCAGCAGAATGCCTGGCACAGTCCACCCGGGGTGTCACAGCCCAGTGCTCAGCACACTTTGAGTACTCCGAGGTGGCAGTTGTCCTCATGTTCCAAGTTTTCTAAGAGAACATAGTGGTGACCTGGAGTCTCACGCCTGCCCTGGCTCTCAGGCTGGTGCTGGGCTCAGGAAAGCCTCTCCGGATGCCCTGCGCTCTGTGGTGGGTGAAGTGGCCAGAGGCTGCCCACTAGCCCATGGCTTTTCCTTCGGCAGTGCATGCTATTGTGTCCAGGGCCCTAGGACTACAGGACACGACAGCATGGTGGATGGGAGATAGGAGAAGCCCCCCGGACACAGGACAGCCCAGACCGGGCCTAGAAAGGCATGAGGTGTTGGGTAGAAATAAGAAACCTATGTAGTCCATCCATCCTGTGGGCTTTGTTATAACCAGCACTTCCTGGTATTGACAGTGGGCTGGCTAGTGCTTTTCCTGCAAGTAGGGTGGGCTTGCCAAGGTTGGCTTTGCAGGGGACTGCTCGAATTAGGGAGCTGGAAAAAAACCTCTGCCACTGGCTTCCTTACTGCAGCTGCTTTTAATAGAACTTTCTTCTTTTTCTCTTGAAAAGCCTCACCTATCTCTCTGCCACACTGAGAATCCTGGTGGGAAAGAAATCTTGGGGAAAATATGAAGCTGCTGCTCTCTGCCAGCCCTGGAAAGGAGGTCAGTGGGGTGCGTCCGTTTACTCAGCCACCCCCTCTCCCCATCTTCCCCTTAGCACTCTAGGCCAGCCCAGCGGAGCTGACACTTGACAGCGTCTGCAGTTTACCTTGGCTCCGGGCCACAGAGTTTGGCCCAGCCCCGGGCGGCCCCCACTTCTCCACCTTGTTACCGGCCCCCCTCGCCAGCGCAAAGAACAGCTTAAATATAAATCAGTCCTCGACACAAACAGAACCTCGGCGAGCCTCAGAGCCATCACCGGAACTGAGTGCGAGTCCAGGTTCTCTTGACGCGAGTGCAAACAAGCAGAGACTGGCTCCGTAAATCTCCCCGAGCGCATCGGGAGGGGCGCGGGGGCTCTCCTCCCCTCCAACACCCCTGGCTCCCGTGGGCCCCTCCAGAACCCCTCGGTCCTTTTCTGGCTTCCTCCTGCCCCCATAGCCCTGCGGACCCCTTCTCTGGATGCCTACAGTCTCCCGCCAGTGTGTTCCCCCTGCACCCACACCCCGCCCCGCCTGTCCCACCCGGCGACACCACCCACCCTTTCTCAGTCTCCGGCCCCCGCAGACATTATCTCCCTCCCCCCTCCCGCCCCCCGGCCCGCCGCACCCCCAGCCTCCTCCCCGCTGGCGGGACCTTCCTTCACTAGAGGCGGTTAAGCCTCGCGGGTCGCAGCCGAGCTCCTGGAGCACAGACGCAATCCCCGGCCCAGCCAAGCGGTCCGCCGCGTCACACCTGTCCGAGGGGGTGGCCTCAGCGGGGCGGGGCGGGGACTCGCAGCGCCTTGGACAGGCTGGGAGAAGGAGGAGGGGCGGCCACTTATAAAACTTCTGGGCGCGCACCCTCTCGCTCAGTCCCCGCGCTGCGGACCTGCTAGGGCCGGCGCCGCCACGCACGCCACCCCTGCGCCCGGCAGCACCGGCCCGGCTCCCGGCCCTTGCTCTACTGGCCTCCTGCCCCGGGTCCGGCCGCCAACGCCCTGACCGCACCGCACGGGACGCCGCCCCGCGCCACCGCCGTCTTTCGACCCCGCGCCCGCCCCGCCGTCGCCCCCCACCATGGGGCTCTTGCCCAGGCTTGGTGCGCGACGGGGCAGCGGCGCCTCCTCCGGCCCAGCCGGCCGCTGTCCCCGCTCTATCTTCAGCAACATTAAGGTGAGCCCGAGAACCGGACACTGTCCGGACCCGAGCAGCGCCGGGCGCACCTTCCGCGGAGCCCAGGAGGCTGTGGATGCGCCCAAGACTCTCCGCTTAGACCTGGGTGCCGCGCTCCGGGACGCATCCCGGGATCTGGCGCGGCGGGCGAGGGGACGCCTGGACAGGCGAACGCGTGCTGGGTGTGTGTCTGTGTGGTACAGTAAAGTACCTGCTTATCGGGATAACTCTATTCAGATAGGCTTGGCACCAGGGAGTTGTTCTGTTCTTTGATTGAAAAAGAACATCTCATGGGGCACTTTTCGAGATCTCCTGCAGGCAGTTACTTCCTAAACAGGGTGTGCTTGGAGGCGCACCCCCTGTCGGGGAAGGCTGTGGTCCCCCCAAAACGGAGGAGGTGAGAGCCCAGCTCATCCGTGGTGGGCATGAGAAGGGATGTTCTCCTTCCTCGGGCTTTTCTCTCCCCGGGAGCAGCAGCACGGGGGGCTCTGCTTCCTCCCTGCCTGCAATGTTCAGAATTCCCCCAGGATGGCTCTCAATCTTGTGCATGGGGGCCAGCTTTCCCGGTCCTGACATTGCCCCAGGCAAGCAGTGGGTTCTGGCAGTCTGTTCAGTAAGGGCTAGACACGTTCCAGGCAGTGGGGGAAGGCCGGGGCGGAGCAGCTGCCTGGTGCGGGCAGTTTCTTCTCCAGGGTCGGGAAGGCTGTCCACTCCCTCACTCGTCTAGGAGGACTCAGAAAGGTTGAGTCCGTGCTCAGGGTCTTTTGCCTGTTCCCGCTGGTCAAAGCAAGTGAGAACGCACCTGCCGAGGGGGCAAAGCCAGTGAGAGTGTGGGAGGTTGCAGAGCCCCACATCGGGGCTCCCCGGGGTCAGGCAGGGGGTCATGGGGCAGAGCAGTTGTTTTGGACAACCTTGCACTCCGATGGGGCAGAGGAGAGCCTCCAATGGGGCACCTATGGGGGAACCCAGATGTGAGCGTCCAACAAAAAGGGATCTGGAGGTCACAGTGGATCTCACCTGCCATGTTGTGCTGTGTATAGTGCATGTTTTTTGCCCAAATTTTGAGGGAAAATGAGGATGCACATTACAGTGTACATGGGTATGATAAATTCACATTCCTGTGTATTGCACACACAGAAATGTGGGTGCACATTATATATGGCAAAATACGGTACATGCTTATATTGTTGGCAGTGGACCGGGATCCTCATTCCTGCTTCTGCTCTCTCCCCACACCACAGTATGTACAGGCTGAACTGATGCCCTGGTTGGATATAAATAAGACACCCAAAATTTGAGATAATTTAAGATACTCCTCAGATCTCCTCACCTTTGGCCAGCCCTGGAGGAGAACGCTGTGTGTGGTTTTGATCCCACCATTTAAAAGAGTCTTGGAGAAGTTTCAACAGAGAGGGGCGGAAATTTTGGTGTTTATAACTTAGGAGACGGGGAGGAAATGGTGGGGAAATGGTCGGGTGGTCTGAAAAGAGAGGGTCTCAGGAGGGAGCCAGGGTGGGGGAAACTTCCGCTATTTCCACCACGAAGGGCCGGAAGGACAACTCATTCCAGAGCAGATTCCTGATGGTGAGGGCAACCCCAAATGAGGTCGATGCATTTAGACCCTCCCTGAGTCCCTAAAATAAATGCATGCGTGGCAGCAGTTTCTTTGAAGACCTGTAAGAGTAAGACAATTTCTCACGTGCTGATGCTTTAGCCACAGGTGCCTGAGGCCTGGGCCCCAGGCCAATTGGCCTCCTAAAGTCTCCTGCCAGTTGAGAGGTTTTCTTAACTCTAAAACCCAGATTTTCTTAATTATTGCCTCTGTTGATCCATTGTAATTCTAAGAGTTTGACAAAGACTTCATTTGGCTTCCCGGAAACAGTCTGAGACCAGGCATAAGGTTGGATCACCTTAAGGCAGATATAGGGCCTGAGATTTCATTGATTAAATTACTGGAAGCCTTTTCTTCCAGGGGATGTTACTAGCCATCTAGGGGCTTTGCTGTCTGATGGGAGATTATTTCCTCCTCTCTGTGAGAGGTTGGGCAGCCTCCCTGCACCCTCCCAGTGGGGTTTGTGTGACATGTGATGTATGTGACATGGGGCAGGGGAGAATAAGGGAACCCATCCATTTTCTGGGTCCCTTGTTGCTGGGGCGGGTGAAGCATTTACTCTGTGACATTCCTGCAAACCCCCACATACCGTATGGCTTCGGGCAGGGGTGTTGAACTCTTTCACTGGGGACCACATCAGCCTTCTGCCTCACGGGACTTCATGAGGATGGTGTGAGATGAGGCCTGGGGAAAGGCTTTGTGAGCCGTGCTGGGCTTGCTGGGATCGGCACCCACGTGAGGCTAATTCTGGCCTCAACGAATAGGCTACACATGCAAACATCACTTAGGCTCTATTGTTCCACTCGTTATAGTTCACAGTTAAGAGACACTATAGTTAATAATGTCCAAAATAATAGTAATAACTAATGGTAACAGAGCTGTCTGAATGTAGCAGGAACTCTGCAAATATTTTACCCATGTTAATCCTCATGACAGCACTCCCAAGTGGATACTGTTACTGTCCCCACTAAGGAGGAGGAAAATAAGGATCAGCAAAGCTGGCCCCTCCCATGTGGAGACACAGCCAGAAATCGGGGGTGGGCTGGTAATGGAGAGTCAGAGACCCTAAAGCAGGGTGTCAAACTCATCTTCACAGGGGGCCACATCAGCCTCGAGGTTGCCTTCAAAGGGCCGAATGTAATTTCAGGACTGTGTAAATGTAACTACCCCTTAACTAGGGCGAGGAGCTGGGCGCTGCTGCTGGGTAGAAACGAGGTGCCAGGTTGAATAAAACAAGGTGAAGGCCGGATTCAGCCTGCGGGCCTTGTGTCTGCCACCTGTGCCCTCACCACCACGCAGTGCACTCAGCTCCAGGTCAGCACGTGGGGACACCCTGGGTGTGCCTGTTCCCAGAGCTCAGGGCTCTCCAGGCCTGGGGACCCACACAGCCCAGCCACGACCGGGGGCTTGCAGCGGCTGCAGCGTGGCCGCTCCCAGTTGCTAATGGGCTCCTACCTCTCCTCTTTAATAACTCGTCATCCACAGAGCCCAGCTGCTCTCACTCTCGGGGTCGTTTTTCTGCCTCCTTCTGCAGGAGTAAACACAACGGCAGTTAATTTAGAGACAGCCTGGTGTCTCCGGCTTTGCCGGATTCTTAAAAAGTAGGGGGCCTGCTCACCAGTCACTGTCAGAGAGATCATGTGGTGTCTAGAACTCTAAAACTCTAAATTAAAAACGGGTTCATTCAACAATTACTGGGGCGGGAGTGAGGTAGGAGGGAGTCTTTGTGGCTACTTCATCCTGGCAGCCTCACAAAGATCTGTTTCTCCTTAAAATGAAACTTCTGGGGCCAAACTGAGGTTATGTTGTGAAAGGAGTGGCTGACTGGTGTCTGCTGCCCAAATTTCAGGCACTGACACACCCAGGGCCCCAGCGGAGTAAAACAGTGTATAGCCAGTGAGTGAGGGAACATCCTGTGGGGGCGGGGGGGGGGGGGGGAGGACAGGGAACTGGGGTGGGAAGAAAAGGAGAGATGACTCTGGCCTGAGTGGCCCTGGTGACCTCTGACGTGGGAGGGAGGGCTAAAGATGAGGGAGTGGTGCTGGTCCCCAGCCTGTGGCCTTAGCTCCCCGAGGTCCCTGAGGCCCAACCAGGGGCTTAACCTCCCCGTTTCCAGAGGAAATCACCATATCCCAACAACCTGTAGACTCAACAGAATGTCCAGCCAGGGCCAAAGACTTTTTAAGTGACCCCCTGGGGTACGAAGTGCCCTCTCCCCATCAGGGGTGGTTTCTCTGACTCTGAGGTCGGCATTGCTTCCATTTTCCCGGCATCTGTCCCAGCCTTGCCCCATTTGAAGGGGTACAATGGGAGAACAATGGGAATGGGCGGGGTGGGGGTCACAGGTCACTCAGACCCCTCCCTCCTGCCAATGCTCCAGGCCTTTCTTAGCTTTGATTTCTCTCCTGGTGATGGATTTGCGACCTGTGCTGCCACAGAACAAACAACACCGGGAGCTCATTTCATCTCTCCAATCGCTCTCTTTCATCTGTGACAGTGACTACTCTTCTTTCCACTCTGGGAGGCCCGGATGTTGGGATGTTGGGAAGTTGGGATGTTGGGAAGGGGTGTGGCTTCCCCTCACCTCTTTCTGTTCTGCAGAGAAGGTGGGTGGCCCCCAGTGCAGGCCTCACCCCTTCCTTGTTCTCCGTCTCCATGGTTTTGACTACCTCCTGCCCATATTTTACCCCCTTTCTGTCTGTGGAGGCGCTTGGCCTGCAGGGAGCCCCAGTTATGTGCCAAAGCCCAAGAGATAATAATGGCAGAGCTGAGAAGCCAGGGTGCGCCTGGGCGAATGGGCCCATCACAGGACTGTGCGTGGGGCTGGGCTAGTTTGGCCCTCATTCTGCTCTATGAGTTCACTGACGTGTCCTGGGCACTGCACTCTCTGTTTCTGTTGAAGAAGGGTGTGGTGTGTGCATTTACACGTGTACCTACCCCACAGGCCCAGGACAGGTGTGTTGTCACTGAGGTGCTTGGTCTCTTTATGTGGGACCATGGGAGAAAGCTGGGTTCTTAGTACCAGGCAAAGTTGAATTAATTTCTGAGTTTTTAAAAAATTTATTTTGAAACAATTATAGATCCACAGGGAAAATCGTACTGAGAGGTCCTGTGTACCTTTCACCCAGTTTCTCCAATGGTTCCACCTTATAAAACTACAGGCCCAGGCCAAAAGCAGGAAGCAGACATGGCTACAATGTGTATGTAGAGTTCCATGCCATTTTATCAAATGTGCAGCTTCCTGGACCCACCAGCCCACCACTTCAGGACGCAGAACTGTTCCATCGCCACAGAGATCTCCCTTATCGTCACACCCATCCCCTTTCAGCTGCTATTCCCAGTGCCTCATGGCCACTAATCTGTTCTCTATGACTAATTTTGTCATTTG